ATGTAAACAGTAGTGTGAATGTAAACAGTAGTGTGAATGTAAACAGTGGTGTGAATGTAAACAGTGGTGTGAATGTAAACAGTAGTGTGAATGTAAACAGTGGTGTGAATGTTAACAGTAGTGTGAATGTAAACAGTAGTGGAAATGTAAACAGTAGTGCAAATGTAAACAGTAGTGTGAATGTAAACAGTAGTGTGTGTGTGTGTGTGTGGGGGGGGGGGGGCTGTATTCACTGTGATGGTGCTGGATGTGTTACTGCCGACCCATACTGCCTGTGGTCTCCTGGTCAGGAAGTCTAGCAGCCAGTTACACAATGAGGTGTTCTGCCCCAGACTGTCCAGTTTAAGGATGAGCTGTTGGGGGATGATGGTGTTGAATGCCGAGCTGAAGTCAATGAACAGCATTCTAACATAAGAGTCCTTAGTGTCCAGATGTGAGGGCTGTGTGGAGGGAAGAGGATGTGGCGTCGTCGGTCGAACGATTTGGCCGATATGCAAACTGGAAGGGATCCAGGGAGGCACGAAGGACAGAGTTGATGTGTTTCATGACTAGCCGTTTGAAGCACTTCATCGGGATGGGGGTGAGTGCCACCGGACGATAATCATTGAGGCAGGAGGGCGATGCCTTCTTTGGGACAGGGATGATGGTGGTGGCGGCTTTGAAACAGGTGGGGACGATGGTCTGACTCAGCGAGATGTTAAAGATATCCGTGAAGACCGCTGCAAGTTCCACTTCACAGTCCTTCAGCACACGACCAGGTATGGTGTCAGGACCAGAAGCTTTTCGGGCGTTGATCTTGATGAATGATCGCCTTACACTGTCCGTGGACAGTGTCAGCACCTGGTCATCGGGAGAGGGGGAGAGTTTCTGTGCAGGTGTGCTGTTACATGCCTCAAACCGAGCAAATAAGTCATTCAGCTCATTCAGTGTAGAGATTGTGCCGTCACAGGTTTGTGGGGCTGGCTTGGAGTTCGTGATGGTCTGTATTCCCCGCCACAGACTCTGTGTATCATTGCTGTCACTGAAGCGATGAGCTATCTTCCTGGAATACTGCTTCTTGGCCTTTGATGTCCCGGGACAGGTTGTTTCTGGCTGCCCTCAGGCCTACCTGATCTCCTGCTGTGAAGGCGGCGTTCCTGGCTTTCAGGAGTCTGTAGACCTATGCTGTCATCCATGGCTTCTGACTTGCCTGAACAGTGATGGTCTTGAGGTCATTTACATCATCAATACACTTGGTGATGTATGAGCATACAGTATCTGAGTACTCTTGAAGATCTGTGTTGTTTTTGGTAGCAGCTTCTTTGAACATATTCCAATCTGTGGTGTTGAAACAGTCCTGAAGAGCTTCTGAAGACCCCTCCGACCACACTCGTACCTGCTTGCAGACTGGTTTGGTGACTTTAACCAGTGGTCTGTATGCTAGCATTAGCATAACACTGATGTGATCAGAGGCACCGATGTGGGGGAGGGGAAGAGACTTGTAGGCTCCTTTCATGGTGGTGTAAACTTGGTCCAGTGTATTGTTTCCTCTTGTTGGAAAGTCTATGTGTTTGTATGCCTTTGGAAACACACTCAGATCTGCATTGTTAAAATCTCCAGCCAAGACGAGCAAAGCATCAGGGTGGGCTGTCTGCTGCTCACTGATGTGCAGATACAGTTCATTTAGTGCCTCACTTCTATTTTTGTTGCTGGAGCTTGGAGGTATATAAACAGCAACAATTATAACAGCTGTAAATTCCCTCAGTAAATAGAATGATCGGCCTTTAATAACCATAAATTCCACTAAAAGTGAGCAGTGTTTGTAGACCACAGCAGCATCACAACACCAAGCATTGTTAATATAAACACAGAGCCCCCCGCCGCGGGTCTTACCTCCCTCAATGAGAGCTCTGTCCACTCTGTAGCATGTTAGCTGCTTGAGCTGAATAGCATGAACCGGAACGTTGTTATTAAGCCATGTTTCCGTAAACACAAAAACGCAACAGTCTCTCACAGTCTTCTGTGTTGTTCGTAGTAGGCGTATATAATCCAGTTTATTGTCCAAAGAGCGTACGTTAGCCAAAACTATGGATGGGACGGCCGGCTTGTGTGGACTAGCTGCTAGCCTAGCTCGGATACCTCCGCGCTTACCCCGCTTCTGCTTCCTGCCGTGCCGCTTATGGCGCTTCCACTGTGGGCGTGATGAAGGAGTGAGGGTCGTTGATGGTACCGGCTTCCAGAGCAGGCCGCAGTCACATAGCTCTTCTTTGAGTTTGCCGTTTATTCCTAAAAGTGTGGTTTTTCCGGCATCAAGTAGGAACTCACGGCTATACTTGCGTTTTAGGACACGTAGACATGACGAAGACGTACAAGCACATTCCGGCTCGCAGGACAAAGAAAACAAAAACACTGTTTGTCGGGAGAGAGAGAAGCCGCAGCGTGTGCGCGCGCAGCCATCTTGGAGACATCTCAAGTTGAAGGATTCAGTGCGACAGAGCAGCTCACCGAGGGCAGAAAAACTGGATCAGATTCCTCTGTTTTTAAGCCAAACTCAGCGAGAAGCAGCACTCACCTGGATGACCCACTGCCTGTGCTGCCACGCGTGGTAGTTCTTTGCATCTTGGCTGAGAATCTGAGCGATGAATTCCAGTTCTTCTGAGGGGTCATTCAACCACTCCACCACCATACGTCTATGATGCCTGGAAGGAGTTTAGGAAGAATTTTTTTTATCACCTTCTGCCAAAAAGGTAGGCATTATGAACGCCTGTATGTGTGTTAGCAAAATATCTCACTAAAAAGTGAAATATCACAAAGTACCGTAAGTGCCGGTGTAAAAGCCGCTACTTTTTTCTCACACTTTGTACCCTGCGGTGTATATGCAGGAATGGCTATTTATTGTATTTTTTTCATAATTTTCATAATTTATATTTTATTTTGACAGACTTCCTGCCGTATCTTGGTAATTTTCTGCCGCTGACTAACATTTTCCTTTGACCGAGCTGGGCGCTCATGGCTGCCCAGCACCCCACCCTTCTTGGAGGCAGGTGTTTGTGACACAGAGAGAATGCCCTTAGGTATCCACATGTACAAAGACACTGGCTCAGGGTATCAAATTCATACCATAACTCCACCCACTCCGTCATCATGTGACCAGAAGTCTAACCTGAATGATCAAAGACGTACTCGAGGACCATACCCCAAGATAGACGTGCGTTAATTTCTTCAGATCGTTCCCGTGTCGTAGACTCGTGACCGTATTTTGCGCTTCATGCACAGACCTGCTCATTTGCTCAGTGATAATGGAAAACACACAGAGAATTTCTTATGACGCAGTTTTCATGTTAAAAGCGATCGATCAGCTGTCGAAGACGGAAACAGAGTTGCTCCCTGTAAGCTTTGCATCAACATGTCAATGGTCGGGCATTGGAGACGCAAAGCAGTCAAGTCTGGTACGTTTTAATAAAAGTTTCAAAATCCTGTGTGACATCTTTCTCTGTACGGTAAATATGCGTTTAATATACTGGGATCTCATTTTAAACCCACATCCAAACGGAGACAACAGGAGGGGTTCTCCCCACCCCACCCCCCGGAGGGGGAGGCGCGTCTCATGAACCCAGAGTAATAAGACCCGCCTCACATTCAGGAACTCCATTTCATAGTTTGCAGCAGCTACAACGTGAGTAAATATGTGAGGACTGAGAGCAGCTAACAGCTAACAAACTTTTCATGGTAACATGTCCGCTGTGTGGAAGTATTTTACACTAAACACCACAAGACAGCAACGTGCAATATCTGCAGAGCTGCTGTACTGAGAGGGGGAAGCTCGGTCGCAACCTACAATACATCGAACTTAAACATTTGAAAAAGCTCCACATTAAAGAGCACGAGGATGGTTTAGCCAGGCACCACAGTAAAGTGGGTTTTACGTTGGACGTTCGAGAGCCGTGGCTTCAGCGGCGTGTTCTCCTCGTTCAGTCCGAAGCAGACAGTCTGATTTCCGTCAGCCGCGCTGAATCTTGACTTTGAAGTCAAGATCTAGTTTACATTTACCCTCCTGGAGATATTTATCATTACAACAGTAGACAATCATAAAAAACATATGAATTGAAAAACAAAAGAAAATTATATAAAGAAATCCAATTATTTGAGTTTGCCGTTTATTCCTAAAAGTGTGGTTTTTCTGACATCAAGCAGGAACTCACGGCTATACTTGCGTTTTAGGACACGTAGACATGACGAAGACGTACAAGCACATTCCGGCTCGCAGGACAAAGAAAACGAAAACACTGTTTTGTCGGGAGAGAGAAGCCGCAGCGTGTGCGCGCGCCGCCATCTTGGAGACATCTCAAGTTGAAGGATTCAGTGTGACAGAGCAGCTCACCGAGGGCAGAAAAACTGGATCAGATTCCTGTTTTTAAGCCAAACTCAGCGAGAAGCAGCACTCACCTGGATGACCCACTGCCTGTGCTGCCAATTATTGTTGGATGTAACTGGGACCCTGTGTACATAATCTCGTTCCACCACATGTACTACATGCGAAGCAAATGACAAGGATACTTGAACTTGAATAGGCATTGTTCAGAAAAAATATATTGTATGTATTTGTGTATGTTACTGGTATGTATTTAATAAAAATAAAATAAAAATCTTTCTGTGTAAATATCGCATGTTACAACGTGGACACTCACAGCTTATATACAAGTGTGGCCTATATATGTACAAATTATTTATTTTTATTTTTTTAGTGGGCATGCTTATATTCTGGTGCGCTCAATAGTCCAGAAATTCATGTATTTAAATGAATGTCCTGTGGGTGCTCAAATTCCAAAAGCTTGAGAGAACTTTGTTTGCTCTAGTTCTTTCCCAACAATTCTGACTTTGCTTTAAAGTTATTGAATGAAAGTTGTTTTACTGAATTCAAATGAGAAATACAGTATTTATACACCTTTAAAGCTGGAGCAAAGCAAAATAATTGCTCTAAAAAAGCTCAAAGTTATAAACCACTTGTTTAGCTTTAACCCTGGCTAGCTGAGAAATCAATTTAATAGCAGAACTGTTAAAATACTAACAAGCCACAGTTCTCTGTACATCCACCTCTTCTCTTTCAGACCCCCCCAGCCCCCACCCAATGCTAACCAAAAACAAACTTGTCAGCTCTCACCAGACTTGGTAGTTTTTGGGTTGCTCCTCAATAATGTTGGTGATGTAGCTCATTTCCTCCCTCAGGTCCTTGGACAGTGCTTGCAGCAGGACTCGTCTGTAGTGCCTAAACAGTTTGACACCAAATGTTAGGTTGCATTTCCTGATGCATCTCACTAGACAACAGTCATAAATTAACCAGTTACAAACTGTTTTTTAACTCATGAGCTGCTGCCCAGCACCTCCACCAGGAGGCACAAAAGAACAAAAAGCACATTGTTGATGAAGAACTTTCCATTTCTTTACTGTTATTCACACATGAAGCTCACCACACTGTGTAGTTGGCAGCATTCAGCTCAATGGCATCTGCAGTCAAAGAGAAAGCTCGCTCGCTTCTTTCATCTTTCTTTAGAAGGGCACGAAAATAGTCAAAAACATCTGAAACTGTTGGAAGAAAGGCACGACAAGTTAAAAGCAATCTAAAAATGAGAACACAGTGATTTAATCTGAGATTACAAGTAACAATCTTACACTTCTCAGAGTAGGCAATCTTCACTACAGGATTAGGCCCGTCATCTTGTGGGACAGGCTCCAGATCAGCCCACTCCTTCCTGTCTCTGAAACACAAAACAAAAGGATCACTCTCCAGACCACGTTTGGCACCAGCTGACGAGAACCCGAATGTGGAACTGGTCTTTTAGAGTAAGTGTCTTTGTGATTGCTAAGGCTGCTGCAAGTTGACATCAGTATTTTTATGAGTACTCTAAATTTGCTGAAATAATCCAACATTTTTTAGTCAGGTCATCTGGACAGTTTCTTTTTTTGTGCTGAAACGTTTCGCCTTCGATCTGGAAGGCTTCATCAGTCAAGGAAACACACAACACACAACTGATTCTTCCCCCCACAGCTTACTCCAAAGTGGAACAAACCAGTTATGTTGGTGCTAAGATGGTCTTTTTTTGGTACGCCCCCTTCTGCATTGCCGGCCCTCTTCCTTGTTGTCACAGTCGTGTCAAACTGGTTGGAAACAACAAAGTCCATGACTGTTCTTCTTAAGGCTTAAGCTTCTTAAAGATCGGAGTGACAACTGCAGTTTTGAAAATAGTTGGTACAGTTCCTGAAGAGAAAGAAGAGTGAATAATGGAAGAAATGATGGAGAGAAGTGAAAAAAGGCAAGATTTTACAAGCACTGTTGGGAGAGGATCCAGAGAACAAGTAGAGGGCTTGGATTTCAGAATGAATTCAGCTTTGATTTTTAAAAACATTTAAAAATATATCTGAGCTTCATTTATTTATTTTTGTCAGTTTTCAATTGGGACTTTAAACCTAAATTATTTACTTTAATTTAAAGTATTTTGTAGTTTTTTTAAGTGGAAAAACTATAAAAGTGAAGGTTGACTGACTTATAAGTAATTAGCTTGTAATAAATGTGACACCAACATTTCTTCTGAGTACCACTAGATGAAGCAATACTAATGGTACTTGTACAACAGTAGGAGAACTGTCAATGTCAGTTCTATTTTGCATAGGCTTTGCCCTTTAAGGCTATCGCTAGTGGGTTTATCACTTCGCGTGCGGCGCAGCATTGAAAACTTTAAGGCTCCAGTATACGGCCGCGTACGTACGCGTGTACTGTACTCAGAGGTTTCAGACTTCATACTCCAGGGTCCACCCCGAGCAGCTGCAGCGCAGCTTCACAGACAAGGGGCGTTTACCTTCGGGACAAATTGAGGTCGCCGATGATTGGTCATTTGCTGACACGCCTACTGGATTGATTGACAGGTCGGAAAAAAGCGAGTGCTGGCAGCCTCCGCCGCAGCGGTGTTCTGAGTTTATATGTTGTTAATAAAAAGATCTAAAAAATAAAAAAACAGGGAGAGCTGGCTCTACAACCCACACATAAGACCAGCCCAGCAGGAAATCTCCAGACCCTCCCACAGCCACGCTGGACCTGAGTTTAATTTGCTCGTAACAAATTCCTCCATTTCTCACCATTTCAGTCATGGCATCAACGAAGGAGGAAGAGATCACTGCCTCTTAGAAAAAAAAACAATAGAAAACGCCAGATCAGGGATGAAGAAGGGGAATTTAATACATTGGTGTTGCATACAAAACAATCCGTCGCCAAGCAGTTTATTGTGCGACACCGCGTACGCGTATGCGGTTGTAAAAATTTGAGCTTTGCACGGACATGTCCTGGGGGGTACGCACATATCTCTGCATACGTACGTGCGTACCTCTGCATATGGATGTACGCGGCAGTATACTGGGGGCTTTAGTCCACGCCCACCTGCTGTGTGGGCCTCACCCCGGTCCGTATAAATTTCGGTGAGACCGGGTAATCGGCTCCCATTTTTTCTTCAGCCAACCAACACAGTTTTTTGAGAAGAGAGAAGATGTCCAGCACCAGCACCATCCGCCTGTGCCTGTCCTGCCAGACTGGCTACATTATGAGCTTCGACCGGCACGACATCTGCGATGGATGCCTGGGTCCCCGCCACGCCGACCTCGCCTCCTGCTGCCGTCCCTGTGACCTCCTCCCTTCTGAGGAGAATCAGAGACGAGCAGCCTTGCTCAAGGCTAACATCGAGGAGTGTTTTTCCGTGGCAGGGAATTGTTCGCTGGACAACGCCATCGCCTTTTCTTACGCCGAGTCACGGAGTGAATCAGATGATTCTTCCAGAAAAGGCGATGTCAGCAGCAGCCCCTTTGCTCATTCCCTTCTGGAGAGCGTAGTGCTGGAACGGGGGGCTGAGCGCATGCTCACCCCCCCTTACCCCGCGACTTTTCGCATTGGCGAACACCTCACTCCCAGCCGTCGGTGCCCTCCTCTCGGAGCTGCTCAGCATAATCCAGGAAGCGGCTGACAAAAAGGGACTTTCCGTCCCTCTCCTCCCCCCAGATCGGATGATATAGCGGGAAGGTTTGGCTCCACCCCGGCTCGCCGCCCTGACCCCATCTTGCCTCATTTCTCAGCAGTGATGTCCTATTGGAACAAGGCAGCCGGACCTAGTAAGCTGAGGGCGCCCGTCTCCACCTTCGCTCCCATCACCAGAGTAGAGGGGTTTACTGAGTGGAGTTTTCCCTCGGTTCCCCCCTTGGACCCAAGTCTGGCGGAGGTACTTGGGGCAAAAGTTTCCAGGTTGGACCAATGACCTGTCCTTCCAGGGAAACATGACCAGACGGTGACGTCACTCTCTAACCGAGCCCACCAGTGTGCTTTTCAGGCGGCCGCGGCAAACAACAATGTCACCCTGCTGGCTTACAGCATTTCAAAGAGGCTGGAGGACACAGACCTGCCTAAGGAGATGAACAGCTCGCTCTGCAAGGCGTCTGACGTCCTTCTGAACTTGTGCGCCACCTCTGCGGTCTGCCTGTCTCGCATCGCCGCCTGGATGACGATGATCCAGAGGTCCACCTGGCTCTGTGTCTCCCCATCCATGCCGGAGAGGCTGCAGAGGGACCTGCTGGAGGGCCCTATCAAGACGGACGCGCTGTTCAGGGACAACTTCAAGGCCATGCTCGAAAAGTCCAAAAAGTCCGAGGATGTGTCAGAAACTGTGCGCCACCTGATGAAGCCGCAGGCCCCCCCCCCCCCCCCCCCCATGCTGGAGGGATCGCCGTGGCCAGCGATAGCAGCAGAGACGCACCATAGCTGCAGCAGCGACTTCTCGCCCCGCTCCTCCGCTGGCCCCTCCTGCCAGAGAACAGCCCTTCTCATCACACCAATCAGCGACTCAGCACTTCCCCAGAGGCCGTCAACAAGCACCGCCCTGGACCAATCAGCCACAGGGCCCACGAGGAGGCAACACAAAAAACGACTCCTTGTGGGGAATGTGTGTGTTCATAATGATGATTTAAGTTTTACAATAAAACAAAAACATCATTCAGAGAGTAAAGTGCCTTCTGATTCCAGCCTGACTGTCAGATCGAATGATCTCACAGCGGCCTCTCTTCACACATTCCCCCCACAAAACGAGCCTGTAAACTCAAAACAGGTTTTTAAAAGTCACCACAGCTCAGGAAATCACACAAAATACTCGACTGACACATCAGCTAAAAATGATTTTTTTTTTCAGCAGACCGAGCGCGGTAAAAACCCTCGCTCTCAGCCCATGTTGTTTTCTGATATTTCTGACCGCAGCGGGAGTAAACGTGTTTCTCCACGACAACTGCAGCCTCCACCCAAACGGCGTCTCATCTCTAAAAGCGCTCACACCTCTCCTCAGTGCGCGTCAGCTCACATCAACTCTAATGTGAGCCCGCAGCCTGAGCGCAGCACATAGGTTCTTTCAAGGCCCTTTCTGACCCCCCCCCCCCTCCCCTTGGGTCAATTCAGGAGAATCCCCAGAGCGGGTGACGGCTGTGAGGGCTTTAACTTGGCTGACGTCCGTAAAAAACATGACAACACAAAAACGCGTGCCCGCTCCCCGAGCGTTACGCAGAGTGGCAAAGAGTGTGTTCCCTGGACAGATGGATGGACCGTCTGATCAAAAGGGTTACATGCTGCAGTTCGCAGCTCAACCCCCACCATTCAGAAGGATTATAGAGACGGTTCTATCATCTCCAGAACAGAACTCGTCTCTCCACTCAGAAGTTCAGGAACTACTGATAAAAAAAGTAATTTCCAGGGTTCCCAACGGAGAGGAAAACATGGCATTTTACTCACGTTACTTCCTGGTCCCGAAAAAAAAACAGAGGGATGAGACCCATTCTCGACATGTCCATGTTCAACAAAGCGATCATGGAGAGACAATTCCACTTCCACATACTGACAACCAAACAGCTGTTGGACAACATTCACCAGAACGATTGGTTTACTTCCATAGATTTAAAAGACACTTATTTTCACATTCACACCATTCCAAAGCACTGGAAATTTCTGCGTTTTTCCTTCCAGGGGACCCAGTACCAGTACAACAGGCTGCCGTTTGGTTATTCCCTCTACCCATGCACAGTTTCAAAATGCGTGAAAACGGCTCTGTAGCCATTACACTGGGCAGGAATGAGAATTATTTTTATCTGGACGATCTGCTGTTGTTAACTCGATCCAGACAGGAAGCAGCTGCACAAACCAGAACGTTGAGGTCACACCTGCTGAACCAGGGTATATGCAGGAATAATGAAGTTAATTTCAATACCTTTTCAAGACTTTTTCAAGACCTTCCAAAATAAATTCAAGACCTTATCGTCACTTTGTTTTATTAAGCAACAAATCTTTGATTTACAAAACTGCTGTTGTTTTCAATTAAATCCGTGAATCTCAAACCTACAACAGAACTGAGATACAGTGGATAGAAAAAAATTCAAAAGAAGAAACTGAACCACGACTAGGTTTAAGAAAATATAGCTTAGGTTACAACAAGACTCGTAGTTATTTTAAAGTAACTTGGTTGAACAATGGCGAATAAGAAATAAACACAGTAATCATTACATGTGCCTCAGTGCAGTTGCTTTGCATTCCAGCAACTCTTCAGTTTGCACCAGCTCACTGAGTTTTTCTTTACGTCTCCTTCTCAAGACATTGGACTTGGTGATCAGTTGGGCCATTAAAGAACCTGACTTTCCCTCTGCCTGCTCTGCCAACTGATCTGCATCTTTTTGCAGAGAATCGCAC